GAAAATTAGAATAATATATCTTTGGAAGCCTTGGAAAAAATTTACTTGTGCAATGGAGGAGGCCAGTTCGGTAGATTCATCGTGACACCTGAAATAGAAGATGATGAGCCTGGAAAACCATGTGCTCCATTTTCCTTCTAGGATGCAGGTATACCATGCAAGAGAGCAGGATCTGAACCAAAATTACAGTAATAGGAAAGCAGGCGTCAATGAAAAGGCCAAAACAAATTCAAACTAAATAATAATGGTCTAGGTACATTTCCACATTACAGGATGTTCATACCATTCGAGGTAAACTGAGTAACACCACCACGTCCAGCATACCGGTCAGAACCACCCCTACCTCCACGGCTCAAAGTGTTACTAGCAACACGTGACCTGGGATCCGCTGTATCCCTATTCTGAAGAAACAGTAGAAAAAAAATTACCATTTGACAATATCATAAACAGTTAAACAAGTCAAAGAAAGCACCACAGAGTGCAAGGATAACAAGCACATCAATCATAAACTAAGATAAATAAATGGCAGAAATAGTTTAAATAGTATCAACATCCTAGCTATGCCTTTTGCTTCCGGCAGCAAGAAATTTAAGATAAATAATCATTTAAGACTACAAATGCGAAATCCAAAACTTAAAATAATGCAAACAACATAGTTAGCATATCTCCACATGCACTCACCTCTTTTTTCTTGTCTCGTTTGCTTTTCACCTCATGAAAAGGATCTATACAAGAAATAAGCCTCATGTTAGAAACGAATTTTAATAGGAATGTTTTTCCCTGTGTGTGTATGGGCAAAACCTACGTAACACCCCACAACTTCCCAACACATTGTACAAAAGATTCTGAGTTGAATAAAATTTAGCACTATCAATTCTAGCAAATGAAATGAAACATACTGTACCTGGAACCAAAACCTCAAATAGTAAGAGAAACTGAAATGAGAATGAATTGTCTTTTACCAAGACAGTCACTAGCACACGCCACTAGCAAACAATCAACAAAATACACAAAGTAAAAGACAATAACAAATAAACATTCCAGATTAAAAATTTTAATTACATAACAAAAATCAAAAACAAGATCCTATTGAACATCGGCAAGCTCAAAATTGATGATATGTAAAGGAAACATTGGATACAACCACATTTAATAACACACAAGAAAATATTAAATCATTTTTATTCCAGAGAAAGACTTCTACATTCCAAAAAGAAAAACAAAAAGGTAGGCTTCTTACCACTTTAGATATTACACTACTAATTGCCAGAGAGCTCCAACCTTAGATGTTACAGTGAGGGGAAATCAAGCACCATGTAATCTTATTTCATTTCTGGGTTATCAGCCAAATAAAACATCATATACAGCAAATTCCTTTCTAACCTAAAGCATAGCAAGGATTCACTTTTTATGGGAACCACACAAGAACTTGCTTTAGTGATATAAAAAAAGTTGAATGATGGCAAGCCTAGAGAATGTAATGCATGCATTTATATCTAAAAACTTGTGCAAACATGTGAAATTGTATACAACACAGCTTTCAGCATATCTGAGACGCCTCACCTCCATCTTCATGACAAAATTAAGTATTCTCATAGGGCAGGGTTGCATTTTCAGTTGGTCTAACATAATCAACCTCAAACAACACTGAAAATGAGTTGCTTTCCCACAAGGCCCCTAGTTTATGGCTTCGCACAATTTCCATTCAATTTTAAGTTTAACATCAAACAATAAGTGTGAAGTTTCATTAAAAACTCTCAAAAAACAGAAATAAGAATTCTGACTATAACAGTTGAAGAAACGCCATTTGCAAGGATAAACATAAAGAACAACGAGAACGAACAACTGAGACTTTCCCTTCATTTGGGCAGACACAGGCTGAAGCAAATATACTTAAGTGACAAAAACGAAGAGGATAGAAAGAAAATACAATACTACTTTAAGTAACATTATCAATCACCATAACGTGGCCAAAAACAAAAAAAAGCCTACCACATAACCACTTCAACGAAAAAAAAAATCAACCATTTTCTCTTAAATGAAGGAGAAAATCTGAAATTTTGAGAATTCAGGTTCATAGAATACCAGATTATTAAACAACTTTGAAAGCCTAATGAAATACCGAGTCAGTGCACACTTCCTTATTTCACGATAAAAACATAAAAGTCATCCATTAGTCACCTGAAGTTTCTTTTTTTTAACTTCTCTGAAAAGGAAAGAAAACTTCGTCTTCCTTCAGTTTCCCTCCATTTTCCAAGCAACCAAACAGAACGTATAGCAAAAAGAAAAAAAATATAGTAACCCTGATTTTAGTAGAATATGAAGAGGACAGAACAAAAAACCTTGAGA